AGACAAGTCAGGAGGGGCGTCACTGAGCTGCAGGTCACCAGAGGATACAGCAGAGGCGAGTCAGGAGGGGCAGGTCTCCACAGGATACACCAGAGACGAGTCAGGACGGGCAGGTGTCTGCTTCCAGCCAGACGAGCACTCCAGTTCTCTGAAGCTTTAGGAAACCTAAGCTGTCAGTGTTCATCTCATCTGAGTCTGAATCTCCTTTGAAACTATTTAATATCATTCTGGATGATTTTTTCATCCAGTATATATTTTGAAAGTGGGCTATCTGAAATGTAAAGCGCTGCTGGAACACTCCCCCAGATGATCAATAAAGTTATCGATCATCTAATCATCTGTCCAGAAAATAAATCTGAACTTCAGATAAAGTCAGCCTCAAAGGATTTTTTTCGTCTTGTGTTCATGTCACAGATGCTGCACGCATTCTGTTTCCATCGCTTCACACATTCTGTCAACAACCAGAAAAGAAAGTCCATTTTCTACACACAGAACCTGGTGAACAATGATGAGGTTCTGATTCCATGTGGTCCAACAACTAACTCAGAAGAAGACAGAACGTCTGTCGGTGTGGAGAGACGCTCACTGAGATGATCCTCTGAAGGACGTCTGGTGTTTGCTGGACTATTGGATCTGGTCATACTGCAGTTTGGAATCTTACTTATGTCTGAATGAAGCTTTATTACGTGTGACCTGTGTTGTCCTGTAAAGCTTTGATTCTGAAACGTTCTGTTCAGCTGTTTAGATTCTAAACGCTTTTAATGTGAAGGACTGATGAATATTGGAGATAAAGAGCCTTTCTGAGCTTCCTGCAGGTTTCAGAAGGTCAATGATCAGAACTTTCCTCGCCTGATGGTACAGTTCAGGATGTTTGTCGGTGAACCTGTGGCTCTGGTTCTGGCTCTGGCTCTGGTTCTGACCCTGCTGTGGCTCAGGACGGTCGGCTGGAGGTGGAAGCAGCACAGGGAGGTTTGGAGGCAGCCGGGCTGGGAAGAGTCAGACTACAGGGCGGCAGCAGCAGCAGCAGCAGCAGCAGCAGGGCCGGAGGTGGTGGTGGTGGGCTTACCTGAGGCCAGGGCCCCCTCTGCCCTGCCCTTCATCCCTCCTCCTCCTCCTCCTCCTGGGCCTGAGCCGCCCAGAACCTCGGGCACCACCGGGAAGGAGGGCCGGTCGCCCCTGTAGGGCTTGGGCCTGAAGGGGAAGTCTTTGTCTTTACCTTTGGAGCCTTTGGGCCGGCCGGCGGTCTTCTTCTTCGACTTGCCGTCGCCTTTGACGCCCAGCAGGGGGTGAACCTCTGGGGACACAGAATCACAGCTGAGATCAGTCGCAGTGAAACCAAAAAATCTAAGTACCGTCAGAGCGCTGCCCCGGGGTGGAAGTGTCCAGAACGTGCACCGGCACACCGGTCAGTCAGGCTGAAGTCCAGCGATGCGTAGTGTTCTAACAACACATTAGTTATTATAACAACTATGAACAANATAATTAGAACTGTGTCCTGCTGGATCCATCCAGTGGTTCTGATGGACCCGTTCTGTGACCCGTTGTGTGAGTCTCCACATTTTGTGTCTGTTGGAGTTTTATTTCTGGACATGCTGAAGCTGAAAATGACGTCACAGCTGCTGGTGAAGCTGAAAACACGGATGTCCAGGTCTGAAGACAAACCAGCCACCAAAAGTCCCAAAGAACAGACACTTGGGTTCTGAATGAAACGTGAGACGGTGCATCAGCACACCAATGAATTCTGTCCCAACCGAGGCCCGGGGCTGCTCGGGTCTCAGCTGGTCGTGTTGCAGACGGCGCCTTGCTGTGTTTGAAACGTCCTGTGACTGGCCGTGATGCTAAAAGCTTCACCTGAGACTCCGTTTCAGCTCCACAGCTTTACCGTGACTCACTGAAACACTCGTTTAAAACCAGGCTTAAGCACAAAAAACAGTTAATTCATTCAGTGAAGCCGGAACCAACCATTGGCTCGGCCACCTGCAAAGTTTCAGGAACTGAAATGGTGAAAAACATGGCATCACATACATACAAGCAACATTCTGGAGCAAAGTCTGAGATTTTGAGTGGAGCCCAGAGCTGGAGTCTGAACCGGATTAGCTTAGCTTAGCTTAGCTTGGCGACAGGAAGCAGCAGCGGTTAGCCTCGACACACACAAACCTGCTCAACACAAACAGAAAGTTTGTGGTTCCAGGACGTGGACTTTCCTGAACGGATCTCGACATTTCTGTTGGTGTGAGAAACGAATCTGGTTTTCTCATCTCCAGGTGAACACCAGCATTTCCCAAATCAACACCAAACATAAATCGTTCTAAAAGGATTAACTGATTAGTTTTTTCTGCTGCTGCACTTCATTCCCTGCATTCGTTCACGTGGAGCTGCAGAAAACCTGCACATGGTGGACCTTACAGCTCAGGATCTGGTGAACCAGCAGGGCCTGGATTTACCGCTGATGCTTCTGAGGCCTCCAGCAGCAACTCCTGTCTGGTGGTCCTTCACTGAGCTCCAGGTCTCTGAGTTCTCTCTCCTGCTTCACGTGGGTCTGGTTCCACACAGCTGCAGGACTTCATGGTGAAGGACCACGAGACAGGAGCTGCTCACACTGCAAACTCGAGGCTCCACATCTCTGTGACGGGCAGAAACACGACAGACAGGAAGTGGGACAGACAGTGACTTCACAATAAAAGCCCGGGGAGCGAGGCGGGAGTGGGAGCAGGAGGGTCAAAGGCCAAGCAGGAGGCAGACGGAGGCGAGTCAGTTCGCCCGCAGGGGAGCAAGCTACAGCTTCATCCGCCGCAACACACTGCCAGCCGACCGCCAGCCACAGCTCAGAGGATACACCATCAGAGAGGTCACCAGAGGATACGCCATCANGACTTTGGTAAAAGTAAAAGTACTCATTGAAATAATTACTCAAGTAAAAAGTAAAAAGTGCAGGCTATTAAATGTACTTTTAGAGTAAAAGTACAACGGGTTTTTTTTTTTTTTTTTTTTACCAGTCGTTTCTGTGTAAAGCCAACTGTAACCTCTTAACCTCACATCATATAATGGGTAATTTGAAGGCTATTAACCCATTAGGGCCTGATCTGTGTCACTTTAGATTTTAAACACTTATACCATTACACTTTCATAAATACCAGATCTACAAGCTCATGGCGCAGTGGGTGCAGCACTATGAGCTTGTAGATCTGCCATTTTTGGAGAAAAGAAATTGTGCAAATCTTTGAATATATCTTCAAACAGGTTTGTGCTGATATAGAAACCTAGTTGTTGTTGTTTTTTTTTCAGAAGACTGTTAGGATTTAGAGGACATTTATGTGATCAAACATTTAATCAGGTCCTCAGGTCTTAATGTTGAACTCCAAACACACGTCTTAGTTAAAACTGGCCATTGGCCAAGGATTGGTTTCCACACTGATGTGAAGTATCATGGAAAGTAGACCCACCTCTTGAAATCAAGTTTATATTTTTAATCAGACAGCAGCACAGTCAGGTACATGTGCACAGTAAATAAATGTTTCAGCCATGTGTACAGAATGCATTGAACTTAAGTTACGAGCAAAAAAACAAAAAGAAAAGTGCTTTGTAAACATAAACCCATCACCTTCCTCTTTTCTACCCATCTCTTTCCTCCCCAATTACACTGACAGGCAGCAGATCTGTGCCACAAACAGATTGAATTCAGACTGGTTTTAATGGTCACGTGATGTTAATACCAATCAGAGTTCAATCTGAAAATGGTACAGATCTGATTGAGGCTGGATTTATTTAGTTTGTGTAAATGGGGTCTTAGAGAGATGTTAAATTGAGTTTGAGTCCATCTGAGAACTACAGTATCACACACTACAGGGTTACTGTAGACCCATGCCAACTGCTCAATGAAGTGAAATTTAGGCATTTTCTGAATCAACTGAACTGAGGTACTCAGACCATGAACATTCTGATAAAACACTGTCTCTCACAATACCACCCCAAACACATTATCTCAACTCTACAGGACTACCAAAAAGGTTTGCTTTTTCAAATTTGACGGAGAATTCTTGTAAGCGAGAAGCTCTCTGACTTTGGGTCTGCACAGGACACCGTTCATTCGCCATGAATCCTTTTTTGAGCCGACGACCGTGAACATTTCCTTCAAGTAAGGCCAGGGATGGTAATTCTGGGCCTGTTCATCCTGTTCATCTGGCTCGTCCTCCGACGTGGAGTCGTCAGGTTTTACCGCTACCACTTCACTGTCCTGCTCCTCGGTATCGGACATGTTGCTGCCTGGTTTGGTTCCATAGTCCTCACATTAACGAATCTCTTGTTCAAGTTGCTGAAGTGAGTTAGCGTGGAAAAAAACAACTACGCTACCAAAAGCCTGCGGGCAGAGAAAGCATGTGCGTGGTGGTAGTCTCTGTAGCCAATGAAAAGAACGATCATGGACAGCGAGCCAATCACAAGCTGGGATGTATGGAACCGTGAGTAATGTTTCATACGATTGGCGGAGCCTGCGGAGATGTTTTTCTTCTGGTCTAAATAACATTTCAATGATTTAATCGTTGTCGTGCATTCAAAGTAACGAGCCTGATTTGAAAATGTTCGGGATAAAAAGCACAGATATTTGTGTTAAAATGTAACGGATAAAAGTAAAAAGTACTCTGAAAAATAAATACTCAGTAAAGTACAGATACCAAAAAAATTTACTTCGTTACAGTACTTCGTTACTTGTACGTCGTTACTTCCCATCTCTGCCTACCAGTACTGAACTTTTACTTGAACTCTGTTGCGAACATGAATAAAGGAACTGAAGTGTTATAAAAATCACTGACATAGTGAAACACAAAACAGTCCCACCCCAATTGCTCCATGTAGCTCCGGTGAGGCCGCCTCTGTAAGGAGGCGAAGCAGGGTGAGCACGACGCCGGCACAGGACTCCCAGAACCACGGCTTGAAATGGCAGCAGTAGAGAATTTATGGCTCGACTCCCGCGTCAGCAAGGAACGACTTCACATCCTCTGGGGTGGAGAAAGTTTTCCTCTGTCCGTGTTGGTCCATCACCTGAAGTCTGGCAGGAAAAAACATTCTGTATGAGTATCCTGAGCTGAGCTGAGACCTGACCTCAGAGAACGCGCCTCTCTTCTGGGACACCTCCGTATAGAGCCCGTCTGGTGACATCGATAAGAAATAAAAATAACTCGTTCTCACGCATTAGTAAGTTGTGGCCACGAGTTATTAATGCGTGGGAACGAGTTATTTTTATTTCTTATCGATGTCACCAGACGGGCTCGATACCTCCGGGGTGTAGTCCGGGAAAATGTGGATCTCTGTTCCACGATAGACGAGTTGACCTTTTTCCCCTGCAAGCTTCAGAAGGAGTTTCTTGTCTGGTATCGATGAATCCTGGTGATGAACGGGCGGGAAGCATCATAATTCTGTCTGCGGACATTGATGCGGTGCGCCCGGTCCACAGCCAGTGGAGTGGGAAATGCGCCCGGTCTGAAGACGTCTTTCAGACACTTGGCAAGGAAAGATGTTGGACATGAACCCTCGGCTCTTTCCGGCAGGTTGGTTATTCGGCAGTATTGCGTCTCGAGCGGTTCTCTAGTTCGTGGGTTTCAAGCTTGAGTATCTGGTTTTCCTTTTTCAGCAAGACGCACGTGTTGTCCAGCTCCATTCATCAGCTTTCCATATCGTTCATTGATGTTCCAATATCCTGACCTGAACTGCCTGGTCGTTTACTGTCAATCCGTGCTCTACCTGCTGAGAACTGTGCCGCTAAAGTTGAGATGATTCGTTCTTCAGATTTGAGCAGCATCGCCTCCATGTTGGCTCGAGTCAGTGATGGCGCTGTTAGCAGCTCATGTTGTCTTTTGGCTAGCGAGAGGATTTACTTCCTCCTCCGGCTCTTCCAAGGCCTGAGATGGTTTCTTGGTTGGCTTTCCCATCTCTGCACATATGTGGGACAAGGCTAAACCGTGTCCGGCAAATACCTAGGATCTATCTCAGAAGGATTTCAACAGAGCTCTCCTGGTTGCTGCCTACTCCTCCATTACTCAGAGCAGAAATCCAGACATCATGTTTTGTTTGTGTGCTGAGATGAATGTGATGTAAAGTTGTGGTGACACTAAACTGCAGCCATCAGGCTGATCTTCTACTGATCCACACTGAGGATCTTCATGCTGACGTCTGGTTTCTTCTTCTCTGCTTTCGTCCTTTGACTGGCAGAGAAATGTTGAGCTTGTTGGAGAAGATTCTCTTTTCTCCACGTGTTCGTTTGTAAAGACAAAACATATTCCGCATGGTCTCAATCAGTCA